TTTTTTTTTTAACCATAATCTTTTTTTTTAGTAATTGCTGGCAGCAAAAGCATAGAAAAGAAAAATCTGCTCTAAGTGCAATCCTTTGTGGCAGCCACAATGTTTTATTGTCAGTGTAAGCATTATTCTTAAGCTTTTGCCAGAATCCAAAATCTTCACCTTCCTTCAGTAAAGACAGAGACACAGGCCTCAGTGTCTCCAAGGTGAGACACCACCTTTTAGGTGTGTGAGGAATATTTTAGGTGTGTGAGCAATACACTTTATGTCTGCAAAAAGAAAAAAAGGATAGCTTTGTCATCCAGAGGAGCAGGAATGTTTCTGATTTTTGAGGACTGCTTCTGTCAGTTTTCTGGTGCTTCTGTAAATTTTAGCAGCCTGACAGTGGAGCTGGTTGTGGGCTTTCCAGCATAACATTGTTTCCTTCGAAAATGCTGCTTTACAAAAAGGAATCCATTTACTAAAGAGGGTCCATTTTGCCCAAACTCTTAAGTCAATGTTAGCATTTGGGGCTCTTTTAAATTGAGGGAGAATTTTCTGTCATTGAAATGTCATTATGTTCTGCTTGATGCTTTCTCTAGGAAACCTGGTATTCACAATCCACTTTCAAAGCAAAACATGAACTCTTTTGGGTGGCTCAACTCCCAAATTATATATATATATATATATATATATATAAAAATCATCAGTCTTGGAGGCTTTTAACCTGATTTGAAGTAAGGGGAGAAGTCAGTGATTGGAAAACATTTGCAGAGCAGCAGAACTGCTTTCTGTCCTGGTCCTCTGCATCAGCTGCTGGCCACTGAGTGTGAGGGAAGATGAGCTCACCTGTGCTCCAGGTGCTGTGCCAGGGGCTGATGCCATCTTCCCCTTAAGCTTATCACCTCATCCCAGTCTGCAGCACTCCTCTTGGCCCTGAAGGCTCTCTCCACACCAAGTGCTCTCAGGGAAGGAGCTCCCAACAGGGAAGGGCCAGGGTGACAGGCCGAGGGGCAGGGCAGGAATGCACATAGCTGTCACCAGGCAGGGAAAAGCCACCGCATTCACTCTGAGGAGGCTGTGGCCAGCCCTCAGCCATTCCAGCCTGTCAGACTAAACTTGTGCAAGGACATGACTGAAGTGGACAGCAAACCTAACCTGTCTTTGGGGCCCATTCCTAATCCCACTGTCAGCGCTCACTTCCTTTCTTTTGTCTTGTTTTCTTTCAGATTCCCGCAGAAGAACGGATCAATCCCACGGGACAAATGTCAGCTTTCAACATACGAAAACAGTCTCCAAATCCAAGCGGTAACACTGAGTCTCCTCCATTCCCGCTCCAGGGGCACTTGCAGGCTGGGGCTGGCCTCTCTCCTCTCCAGGTCTCTCCATGCCCCGGCGCGGCTCCCTCACGGGGCAGTGGCAGGATCAGGGACACCGTGACCCGCTTCAGATTCCAGACTCTTGGTGCTGGGCATAAACTGTGGCTGGCAGGGATTGAGGGCAGAACACCTCTGGAGTGTGGTGGGGCGGGGGAGCCGCGCTGTGTGGGGCAAGGTGGCGAGGTTGTCATGGAAAACCCGCAGGAGCGAAGTGCTGTAAGGGCAGCGGGAAGATCCATTGGCTTCAGCATGGTCTCTTTGACTCGCACAGGGAAAATTAGGAGAAATTGAGGGAAAGTATTATGTTGGAAGGGGAGAGAAAAGCTCTTTAATCATTGTCTGATGGGATTTTTTACTCTTCTGGAGGAGTAAAACTCAAGGAGGGCTGGAATTTGCTTTCTATGAAGAGAAATAACCAGAAGCAAACTAGAAACATGATGAAATTTTCCATTTCCCCGAACCTCATAAATATTTCTATAGACTGAAAGGTTTTGAGATGCATGAGGACCTGTTTCAAGTGGGATGTGCCAGGCTCAAGTGTACCAAAATTCATGTAGGCACAGCAGGGAGCTCCTTGGCTCTACTGCATTGAGAACATAAATTTTTATTGTCAAATAAAGACAGGGATGAACTGCATCTGCCTGTGCTCGTGTGACCTAATCTGTTGTATCAGATCTATGTTTAATTTTTTAGCTGAAGCTCAGGAGAAAGTTCATTAGGCCAGAAAAGGGTACTGTTCTGCTAGCCCAGGGCCTCAGGCATTAGCAGATTGCTTGCTAAGCACTTGTCAAGTGTTTCTTAACAAGAAAAAAACTATATATTCTTTGTCAACTGCCTTTATATTTCATGAAACATTCTTTGCACTTAGCCATTTAAAAAGCCACAATTACTGAGAAATCCAAGTGATTTTTGACAACCCACTGGAGCTATTCAGGCAAAGCTGGAATGCCATCATTTTTTTTTTTGAAGTCTTTAAAGTCGTATTTTAATAAATATTTTCAAGAGTAAAACTAGCTCAATAGGCAGTGAACAGGCTGATGCAGAATTCATGCAGTGAGGATAGATTAGTTTTTGTTAATCTGCCGTGACTGTCAGCTCATTCTTACAAATGGCATTTTTCCTGTCCCTGGTCATTGGTCAATTGGCTGGATCAATGCTGCTTAAAAAGAAGAAAGCCAAACCTAGGTATCAAATCAAAGAGATGGAAGCACACATCTGTGCTAGCACAGCTGTGGCTTCTAAAACACATGCCACTTCTCTAGCAACTCAGTCTTGGAGAGAGCAAGTCCAACACAGAACCAGACAACATTTGCAGCTAGGAAACATCAGTGATGAGTCCAAACCTTTCTTGCTTCTCTTTCACTAGGCAGTATGTGTATCTATAAGGAATTGAAAGAGGCACAGCTTGAGTTACAGACATATATACATTTTTAGACTGAATTTTATCTCTTTTTAAAGAATTTTATCTCTATTTTATCTACTTTTACTAAAAAAAGTATTTAAAAATTCACTCTTGACCATTGTCACTTAAGAGAAATGTTTTGGTGCTTTATTATGATTTGGTCTTTCACTCACTGTAGCTATTTGTAATTTTTTAATGTTATCACTACAGGTGAAGTTCTTGTATTAAATGCAAGAAGTACATTTTTCTATAAATCAGAGCAGAATGCCAAAACACAGCTCTGATAAATAGCATATTACTGACTGCATGTGTTTTCTCTGGAGCATATTCTTTCTACACACAAGATCTACAGTTTGATTACTGAACACCAGATAGTGATGTCTCCTGAAATTTGAAAATCCTTTTGCGTGAATGCTCAGAGAATGAGGAATTAATGGAGAAAACCATAAGGGTCTTTAGAAGAAAACACAAGGTCCTCTGTATTTTCCATATTTTTTTTTTTAATTATTATTTAGTTGTATTAAAAAGGATTTTGCATATTTAATATTTTGCCCTCTCTTCTCTGGAAAAATTTAGGGCAAATATGGCAATTTAAAAAATGGAATTTCTATTCAGTCTGAACTTCTATATTTTTATTTTAATAGGCCATGTTAAAATATCACAACAATATTTCCTCTTACCCCCAACAGGCTGATGATATGAAACTTAGGTGGACTGAGAATACTATAGAAGAGCTGTTGCATATTTTTGCTAGCAAAATGGGCCAAAATCTTCATGAAAAAAACCAAAGGAGATAAACATCAGCTTTCTAATACAGGGAAGAATCCTTATTCTCCCAAATCAAGTGAATATCATACTGTTACTTTCCCAATACACTAAATATCAGTCTTGTTGGAGAAAATATTTCAGATTGTTTTCAAAAGTAAGGCTTCCATGTTTGTTCAGCATGTCAGTCTGTCTCTCCCAATAACCTTTTAAAACATACACCAATATTAGTTAAATTTGCTGTAAAGGTATTGTTTTGATTGAAGTTCTGATTAAGTAACTGACTGGTAAAGAAACTGTTCATTCAGCCTTTGAGGAAAAAGCTTCAGGGGGAGTCTGACTCTTTAGGAAACATGAAAATCCACATATTTTAAGCTGCATGTTTTCAAAATTTGTATCCTGTCACACATCTGCAAATACAAAACTCACAGACAACACCCCAGGAAACAGGATTCATTAGTTTGACTTTCCTGGGATTACTGTGCTACATAAATTTCATAATTCTTTTATCAGATCTGTGAAATGTGTTTACATTAGAAACAGGTAGAGCAGTTTCATATTAAGGGTGAAACTGAATTTAGTTTGCTAAATTGGGCTTCTGCAGACCCTTCATGTGAAGCTACAAACTTTTCAAGAAGCAATCTGGATTAAACAGGTGTGATAACTGAAATTCAATCTGTATGAAACTTTTATCTATTTCAACCGATGTAATAGCACTTTAGGCTGACAAAGTTTTTCTACATGTTCATTTTCAAGGCAAGTTTCTCTGCATTTTCAGATAAGAAGAGTCCCTCTGTTGCAATTAAAAGCAGACAACAGGCTACTCATGATATTAATAAACGACGGACCCTTTTGCAAGATAACAGCTGGATAAAGAAGAGACCTGAAGAGGAAAGGTAAGAAAAATAGGAAATGCATTTTTTCCGTATTTCATTCAGTATGCCATTTACCTTTGCATGGAGTGTCTACTTTTGCATGGATGGTGTCATCCAGAACTAGAGGAATTCAATCAAATAACTCATTTATTTATTTTGATGAGGTATTGATTGATTTTTGGAAGTATTAATTTGCTGAATATTCACTGTCTGTTTTTCATTGGGAGTTTTGAGTGCTGAGTATTTAATGAAGTTCTGCCCTACAAGTAAAATCCCACATTTCACATGTCTCTAGGTTGCAAGACTATGATCTTTTTATAAGCAAGAAGATCATAAATCTTGGCAAGCTCTTATGAAGCCTAAGTCAGAATCAGATTGAATTTTCTCTAGCGTAAACTAGGACTTAAATGACAGCAGAAACAATGCCTTGGGACCATTTTATCATTATCTGGTCCGTGAACAGCTTGTAGGAAGAGAAAATTCTTACTCCAAAATGTCTGGAGTTTTCTACTGCAGAGTTCTGCAGCTGGTGAAATTACAGTGGTAGTAGACAGCTGTGAAATCTGATTGAAGGCAGAATATCTTTTGCCAAGAAAAAGTTATCTATTTTTTAATACTTACTGTTTTTCTTTTGCTTGAAGTGCTGATGAAAACTACGGAAGGGCGGTGCTTAACCAATACAAATCCCAAGATAGCTTGCACAGGTATGGTAGAATATCTGAATGCCTTTCTGATTATATTACCAAAAACTGAGTATCCTTTTTTCTATATCATGAACAAAGCAAAGAACTTGCTTTGTGTGTATGAAAAGTCAGAACTTGCTTTGTTCAGTTTTAGTCTATACATCTTTTCATTGTAAATCTGACTCCAGCGTCAATAATTAAGCATTGCAGTGGATCCAGGGTTTTATCTGTTGACACCTGAATGGTCTAAAACCCTTTATGATACTTTAATCTGAGACATAGATACTTTTTTATTAATGATGAGTTTTTCAATAAAATCAGTGACCATAGTGGCATTTCTATTTTTTTTTTTTTTTTAATTACAGCAGTAGCACAAATGAAAAGGAAGATCAGAAAGCTGTTCTTGGACGATACAGATCTGATACCACCTTGGACAGGTAGGGCTCTTTTTCTGGATGTATGGTATGTTTGGATTGTCATACCTGTGAGAGGCCATAAAAAGGAAAGCATGAATGAAGTCAGTGCTTTTTTGAAGTTTTCTTATTTATTAAGCATCTAAGCAAAAGACTTTGAATGATTTTTGCACAAATTTTCAATGAGACAAATGAAAATGTCATTTGAGAAAAGGTTCTTTTGATAGCTTTTTTTTTTTTTTGTACCTGTTTCTGTGTATTCTTGTCCTCATAAATTTAAGTATCTTTCCACAGCTGATAACCACTCCTCTCCAATTTTCTTCTTTTCAAACTCTAAACCAAAGCCATATCTTCAATAGCTAAGCACAGGGTGGCTAAACCCATAGCTCTTTGCAGATACTATGATCAGTACCAATATCAGTCATGCTTGTCATACAGGTGCTTAATTTGAATGTTCTGTTCAGCCTTGACCTCTGCTGGGTTAAGACATGACCATGCTGGTGTTTGCAGATTCTGTGTTGCATTTTCAAAATCCAGCCACGATTAACATCTGGTATCCAGAACACGCTGAGGCTATGAGAACCAGCACTTAAATGCACTCTGTGGGAAAAGTGCACTTTATTTAGTTGGGTTTTAGCACTGTGTTATATTATTTCATGATCCTTACTTCTCTAGTAAGAAACAATGCAAAATTGTCACATAAAATTTACCTTCTCCACAGGAGTTTGAAAAAGAATAGGCTAGAGACCTGTGCAGTATCATCTCCCTGCCTATTCTTCTACAGCCCAGTGAATCCTGCTGTATTGGTTCACTCATCATGAGGAAGCTATTGTATTACTTCAATTTACCTGTTGCTCTTCTTTGTATCTTTTCCATTTCCACATTAGTTTCTTGATCTGGGAATTCAACTCTCCATGTAGGTATTTAAGATTTGTGCATACCTTGTATGTACACAGAAGAATAATAACAAGGATTTCTATTTCATTTTCAATTCCTCCCCTTGTACTTCATAACATTGAGTTTGCTCTTTTGAGTGCTGCTAAGAAGTGAGTTTTAATTTTGACAACATTGTCTATGTAATTCCAAGATTTCTTTTCTGAGTGATAATTGCTAGTTCAGAGATCAATTGTTTCTCTTGGCAGGCATTACTTTGCATCCAATAAAAGTGAATGTCATCTGGCATTTTAGAAATATGACATGTTAGCAGATGACTTCTGAAAAGCTTTGCCAGTCACCATTTGTTTTGACTACCATGAAATAATTACATTGGCAAGCAACATCATCCCACTCTCCTTTTTTACAGATAATTCATGAATGTATGGAAGAACACAGGTTTTGTACAGATCTCTGCTTCCACTCTGGAAACTTGCCATTTATTTCAAACCTTTGTTTCTTAAATTTTAAGCATTTTTTTTGCTATATTACCCATAGGAGGTCAGTTTAAAACAGACTTCTGTGAAGTATTTTGGAAATTCAAGTAGCATATATCACCTATGTCACACTTATCCAGATGGCCACTCACTTCAAAACAATTTTTCAAGCTTGATTTTTATGGCTCAAACCCTGTTTTCTAATTTAGAAGTCATAGGACAAATCTAGTTTCTACAAGGTCACTGAGGAGCACTGTTCTTTTGTACTTGATATCTTTTTGGTTTATGCAGAGATATTAAAGTATCTGAATTATTTTGGGTTGTAAGCTGACTTTTCATACACACAAATATCTAACATAAAGGGTTCTTAATATGCAACTGGTGACAAGGTACACCAAAAAAGAGGATTTTAGGTGTAACTAAGAATTGTACCAAATGAAGAACATCCTTCCTAGAGGAAGCAGAAGTATTATTAGGAAATAACTAACAATTTGACAAAAGATGGGATAAACATTATAAGTCAGGTAGGGATGAAAATTACATGCTATTTTTCCATGTACTAAATGATCCTAAATCCAGAATAGCTTCCAGCAACACTAAATCCCAACTGCATCTATAGCAATTAGATCTGGATAGATGAGACAGAAGTAAATTACATACTTTCATTGTTTGCTTTATTAATAATCTAATATTTTGGAATGATAGAAATTACTAGGATCAGAGATCAAACCAGAAACCATTGCAATGTGTGGTTCGAACCTGCTTTCCACATCTTGAACACTCCCCCATGCATCATTTTGCTGATATGAAGACACTGTAATAGAACCAGAAAAAAAAGATTAAGGAGGAAGGTGAGAAAGGATGGAATAGCTTTCATATGAAAAATATCTGAAAAGACAAAAAGTCCTCAGCTTGGAAAAGTATAATATAGGAAAACTGAGTAATGAAAGAATATTTTCTGTTTGTTGTACTGTAAGAATGGGGAGATACTCTATAAATGTTTGGGTAATGAATTAAGATAAAAAAAATGAAACAAATAAAGAAAGAGAGAGAGAGAGAGAGAGAAAGAAAGAAAAGGAAAGAAAAAGAAAAGAACATTTGCTTTTCCTTTAATGCATGCATTAATTGTAGGAGTCACCACCACAGGATATTGTGGAGGCCAGAAATTTAACCTGGTTCAGATAAACCGTGCATGTGTAAATGGACCATTGATCCAGGGGTGTCTGTTTGAGACAGAGCTGTGGGTGTGAACAGAGGATATTCTTTGATTCCTTATCAGAAGCTCGAAAGTTATACAAGAAGTTAAAATAATGCTTACCTTTCACTTTTTATTTTTTTTTACACTTCTGCTAATTGGGCAGCAATGGAGTAGGATGCCAGATCGAACCTTTAAGACTTTAAAATGAGAAAATACAAAACTATGTAAAGCACTGTGCTTTATTTTGAAAATAGGTGATGACACGTGAAAGAAATGCAGGTTCGCTGGCGAATGGGTGGGAACGCTCGGGTTTGCATCCATAGCAATGCCAGCTGGGTTAGTGAGACCTCTAGTGACCTTCCCAGCGATTGTAGCTGCTGTCACATCACATGCTGCCCTGATAGGAGACGGTTCTTTGCAAAATTGCATTTAAGATTTACAAAAGACACAGAGCACACGCTGGTGCAGATTGTGTCCCAGAATTCCCTGGAAGACTTTTCCTTAAATACAACAGTATTCTGTGCTGCTTGAAGGAAGGATACAAAATATTTTACACGTAACATCAGATTATACTTCGAGGATTAATTATTTTGCCTCTATAGCTTCACTTTATAGATGAAAATAAATAATTAAATATAAAAAATGGTATAAAAGTTGTAGCTCAAGATGTGTTTCAGCTGATTTAATAAAATATTTAAGATAACCCTCTCAATTTAGTATTTCAGTGTACATCATTTTATAGTTAAGCTTTTCAGAGTCACCCAGTTCTTACTAAAAGAATGTTCTATATATCAGAAGTAAGACGGAATAAAATAAGAACCTAATCTGCTTCAGCTATGATAGCTACATACTGTTTTCTGTGAAAATCTTTAAGGGGTTTAGGCAACAAGTAGAATGCTTTATGTAGAATACATAAAGCGCTTGAAAAATCATGTGGTTGTTTCTTCATGTACATTTCATGGCTTAATGAAATCAGTTCAAGCACAAAGAATCCAACTTCTTTGATAGAAATTACTCCTGTAGGTCAATACCATGCTTTGCCAGGGATTTTGCACTAGATTTTCACATCACATTGACCTATTAAATCTTTAAATAAAACAAGTCTGTTGCATCTCTCTAGGAATGGTGAGGCAGAGGAAAAGGCAATAGTTCTGTAAGTACTGCTTGACTGAACATTGCTTTCTTTCTTGACCTAATTTAAAGGAGTTGTAATAAATTGTTAGCAACAGAGAGGTTTAATACAGTATTATTTTTTGAACTTCATCTTGGAAAACTTTTTCAGTGAGCTACTTAGACTCTTCAGATAATAATGCACTAAATTTATGTAATTTCAACTTCTGTTCTCTACCTTTTGTGATACTGGAGTATTTGTGATACTGGGATATCAGTACACAGGGCAAAATGATACTCCATATTTTAATTTTATTGAAAATGGATTAAAGAATTAGAGTGTGTATTATAAAGAATTCCTGTGTTTCTGACAGAATTCCAGCCGGAAGTGATACTGATAAAATAAGTAAATCCCCAACACTGAACCATAAGCAAAACAACAGGTATGAATTTCAGAATTGTTATAATCTAAGTATTATGCATTATAATTTTTCATTTATCATACTGTATCATTTATCATGCATTATCATCTTAGTGTTATATATTACCATAACTTCAGAATTCATGTACATACTGGGATTATACAGAGAAATTATTTGCATGGCATATGGCCTGATGTAGGCTTCATTTGACCACCTGACTTCTGGAATGTAGGCCTCTATATCTAAATTATTGTGGACTCTTTGTAGTTGGTGAGGAGGAAAAATATTTTCATTTAAACAAGAAGAATTTTTCTTAAGGAATCCTATTTCTCCACACAGTTAAAAGGGACATCAGCTCAAAATACACATTTACTCAGCATAATGATTATTTAATAATTATGGGATTTAAAATACAAAATAAAAAGAAAAATAAATAAGAGTGTTAGGAAAAACGGGGGTGTGTTGCAGAACTCTAGAATTCTCTGCAGAAAAT